CACACTCGCTGCATCCATAGGGCTTCTCTCCTGTATGAGTTCTTTGATGTAAAATGAGCAGTGACTTCCTACTGAAAGCTTTTGGACATTCACCACATCCATATGGTTTCTCTCCCGAATGAGTCCTTTGATGAATAGTGAGCAGTGACTTTTGTGAGAAGGCTTTCCCACATTCACTGCATCCATAGGGCTTCTCTCCCGTATGAGTTCTGTGATGTATAATGAGCGGTGACTTCTTGTTAAAAACCTTACCACATTCCATGCATAAATAGACTCCTCTGTGTGTTCTATTGTTTGTAATGAGCCATGACTCTTGGTTGCAGGCCTTTCTACATTTACTGCAATCACAGTATTTTATTCCACCAAAGGTTCTGTCAGTTTTGATATAGAATAACAATTTCTTATTGAGCTCAAGTTTCTTTCTTCCATGGTTGTTTTTTTGAATAAGAAAATCAAAAGGATGATTCAAACTTTTTTCACTTGTGCCACATTTATGGAGTCTCATTCCTAAATGAACAAAGTTAATGCTTGAATGAAATATTTTCCCCAAAACATACTGATGGCCTTTCTCCATATTTTTAAGCTTGTCTTGATTATTGTGGTGCCACATTTTGACATTATTATCTAGACAGAATTCTTCAAAAATGAAAAAATGAACCATACTGTGTAAATCCCCCAATGATTGTGTTTATTAATTAAAACTTCTGAAATGGAGCCTAGGATCCCAGTCCAAAAACAAACAAAAATATCTCCCAAATACATTGTCTACTTACTAGGCATTAAAATTTTTAACAAAAATGAAAACAGACTTTAAAAATTACAAATGTTTATATAAACACAAACTGTTAAATAAGAAAATATGACATATACTCAAACAGTGATCATGAGATAAAAAAGACAAGCAACTTCTAATCAAATACTGAAGTGGTTAAAAAACTTTTGTTTTGTTTTGTTAATCCTTACCTGACAATATTTCCCCCCATTTTATTTTTAGAGATAGTGAAAGGGAGGGAATGAGGGGGTGGGCGTGAGGAGGGAGGGAGGGAAAGACGGGGGGAGAGGGAGAGAGAAAGAGAGAGAGAGAGAGAAAGAGAGAGACAGAGAGATTGATGTGGTTGCCTCCCACACACCCTGCGACTAGGGTCAGGGATCAAACCTGCAACCCAAGTACATGCCCTTTACCAGGAATTGGAACCCACAACCCTCCCATGCGAGAAAAGAAAAATATTAAAGGAAACTCAAATGTAATCAATGTCATCTAAAATGAGGAAAACCTACAAATTCCTAAAGAGGAAGAGAGAAACCTGCCTCTGATGCAGGAGAGAAGGAAATGGAGAATGAGGAGGCTGGAAGAGCCTTATCCATGGAAGCAAGAGCCGAAATGACTGGCTCTGAATGTGGGTAAGATAGGTGCATTTCACCATCAACTCCACCCAAAGAGGACACATCCTGACATGGAGACCAGGATCTAGGGCACGTTAAAAATTATGCAGAACTATGTCAACAGTTCTGAGTCAACTCTAAAGACCTAAGGACTTTAAACAGGTTTATACATAACATTTCAAGAGTAGCAAACTTTCTTCAAAAACCTGAGATGTAACCTTCACCATATGCCATACACTGGATTATCTCTCACCTGAGAAGTTGTGATTTAGAATTTCTTCATTTATTTTCCAGGGCTCTTCTTGATCCAGCTTCAAAACTGCATCAGGTTTGATAATTTCATGACCTATTAGTTGGACACAGTTGCTTGAGCTAAGGGACTCTTAAGTGTGAAGAATATTTTACTACAAAGGCTACAAAATAAAGCAAGTGAATAAAAATCTTTCAGTTGGGTATAGAAATCAAAGAATCATTGACATCTGTAACTTAAACCCAAAATCAATAAAATCTTAGAGGCCCCACCATTATTGGGCACACACTGCATTACATAAGAATGTTCTCCCTTTGTAATACTTTAAGCAATGAAACAAAAAAAAAAGAATGTTCTTACCCAAGAACACTAGATTGCTATAGTTCTCCAACATCACATCTCTGTACAAGTTCTTTTGGATGGGATTTAGTAGCTGCCACTCCTCCAATGTGAAATCCACAGCCACATCCTCAAATGATATCTAGAAAAGCAGAATTCCTGTTAAAGCGGAAGTGATTCTCGTATAGAATGCAGACTTTCTTCTCTATAGCGTTAGGCAGTCCCTCCCTGGCCCCACTGACCTCTAACTCCTGGTATTCATGCATCTGGGTAATACTCCCCTCCTGAATACGGGCTGGGCGTACTGACACACTGCCGCTGAATAGAACAGGCCCACAGTGACAGAACGTCACCTCCCAGATCGGCTTACGGAAGAATGCACTTCTGTCGGGGAAACCCTCTCTGGCTCTCTGGGGGAGTGCAGCTGCCATGCTGAAAGGCTTTCCTGTGCAGAATCCCATGAGGCTGAGGCCTGCTCACACCCACGCGAGTGAGCTTGAAAGGGGACCATCCCCCGATTGCACCTGCAGAGGACCACAGCCCTTCTCAACATCTTGACTACAGAACCCAATGGGTAAGCAGCTGGCAGATTCCTAACCCACATACACTGTGAGATAAAATCCTGTGTTTTCAGCCAATAAGGTTTGGGGGTAATTTGTTACACAGCAATGGTCAACTAATATAATATCCTAATCTTGCATTATACCCTGAGAGAGAGACAAAAATATTATTAAAATATCTATCATTATGAACTCATTCATCTATCCACTAAATAAGAAACTGAAATAGGTTGTCTTTAAGTAAGTGCTATGTTTCTCAAAGAAGGTGCCACTGGTACTTGGGAACAATTCTTAGCTGAGTGCAACTGCCCCACACAGTGGGAGCCCTTCAGCAAGCCTGGCCGCTACCTGCTAAATGACAGTACCCTGTCTCAGTCACTCAAACACTCTCCTTCCCCGGGGGTGCCTCTGCTCCCAGGTAGGAACAGCTGGCTAGCTCTGTAGATGTCGTCTAGAACACAGATATTGAGCACGTACAGTTTCCAGAACTGTAACAGGTGCCAGAAATAGAAAGATGAGTAAGAAAAAAAAAATCATCTTCTCAGATATCTTGTCTTTTGGGGTCACAGGTAGTAAGGTGTTACAGAGGCCATGAAACAAGGATATACAGGGCATTGGGACAAAAGGCAAAGGAACTAGTGCAGCAAAAAGGACTTGGAAAAAGAAAATGGAGCAGGACTGAAATGGCCTGACTTGAAGACGTCCTATGAAGCCACAGTAGTTAGGACAAGGCAGTACTGTGAACGAGTACACGCATGGACGAATGGAACAGAAGAGAGCCTAGAGATGGACACCTCAAATACGCTCAATCCATTTTTTGTTGGATATTTAGTTTATTTCTGGGTGGGGTTTTTTGTTGTTTTGCTATTAATAATGCTGGGATGATCATCCTTTTAATTAAACTGTGGAACATACACCTAATTATTTTCAATAGATTTTTGGCAAAGGTACCAAAGCCTTTCCACAGAGAAAGTGTTTTCAATAAACAGTGCTAAAAACACTACATACCTATAAACAAAAGAATAAACCTCAACACATACCTCATGCTGTATTTAAAAATTAACTCTAAGTGGATCACAGACCTAAAGGTAAAACCTAAAACTATACAGCTTCTAGGGATAAAACAGGAGAAAACCTGTGTGGCTTGGGTTTGACAATGAGTTTTTATTTACACACCAAACACACAATCAATTTAAGAAAAAATTTACTAAGTTGGATTTTTTTCAAAATTAACTAATTTTTTCTCTGTAAAAGGCTGGTAAAAAAAAAAAAAAGAAAAAGAAAAACGCAGCAAAAACAAGGAAAAACTATTTGCAAATCACTTGTCTCCTGCATGGCCCCCACTAGGGACTGAGTCCGAAACCCAGGAATCAAACCATGACCTCCTCACCCAGCTGGTGTGGACCTATGAACTAGGAGGTCACAGTTCAAGGGAGAAGGGAACCTTCTCCCCATTCTGCCTCAGTGCCCAGTACTTTCCTACTCCCAACCCTTTCAGCTCACTCTCCTCCTGACCCCAGACCACAAAACTGCTGGAGCTTCTTCCAGGCGCCGGGAGGAAAGGGGCAACCCCAGTCTGCTCTGACCCACCTGAGCCTCCACCTGTGTGCTGCAGGAAATGGATGGGGGGCAGGTGCCTTCTCAGTTAGGTTCTGGCTGCACCATCGCAGGATACGATTGGAGGCTCAGTTACTTTCACTTTGGCTGTTACTTTATTTTTGTTTGTTTGTTTGTTTGTTTATCCTCACTGAGGACATTTCTTTTATTGATTTTTAGAGACAGTGAAAGGGAGGGGGAAAGACGAGAGGGAGAAACATCGATGTGAGACACACTGACTGCTTACCTTCTGCACACGTCCCAACCAGGTCTGGGCATCAAGCCTGCAACCAAGGTACATGCCCTTGACCAGAATCTAATCCGAGGGCTGATGCTCTAACCACTGAGTGATACAGGCTAAGGTTTGGCCGTTGCTTTAACTGGCTACTCTGATACTGGCAGCTGGGCTACCTCAGCTCAGCTGAAATCCTGACATAGCTACATCAAGAAAGATGCTGAAACCGGTTTGGCTCAGTGGATAGAGCGTCGGCCTGCGGACTGAAAGGTCCCAGGTTCGATTCCGGTCAAGGGCATGTACCTGGGTTGCGGGCACGTCCCCAGTAGATGTGCAGGAGGCAGCTGATCGATGTTTCTCTCTCATCGATGTTTCTAACTATCTCTCTCCCTTCCTCTCTGTGGAAAAATCAATAAAAATATATTAAAAAAGAAAGAAAGAAAGAAAGAAAGAAAGAAAGAAAGAAAGAAAGAAAGAAAGAAAGAAAGAGGAGTCTGACTGGTGTGGCTCAGATGTTGAGAGCCGACCTATGAACCAGGAGGTTACAGTTCGATTCCCAGTCAGGGCACGTGCCTGGGTTGTGGGCTTGATCCCTGGGGGTGGGGG